TAGGATTAGGAAATAAGAAAAATTACAGCATTAATTCAACTTGTGTCATTTTGCTGTCCGGGAAATATGAAGCAAATAATACTACTGCAGTTCTTCAGCCACCAATTTTCTGGCCACCATCAAATATGGTGTAACTAAACCTTCAAATCTGAATTCCCGGAGAAAAAAAGAAAAGAAACTTCCAAATTTGAATAGTTTTTTTTTTTTTTTTATTTGGTCGTTGCAGGTTATTTCCATGAAGAAAAGTATCATCTACAAAGAAAAAGGGAAGCATCCCATTAATATGGAATTGGTTTGACCTCGGTACGTAGAAATACTTTCATATAATAAAACTAGCTGGTGACCTAATTGTATGCAGGAATCTATCACTCAAAAAATGTTGAAGTTACTACTCCTTTTGGTCTTTTTCCGTTTATTTAATTTGACTTTTATATATATTTTAACTTAATATTTTTATATGTTATAAATGAAAAGAAAAAAATTCTCTCTATACATAATTTTTAATAAGTAATTTCATTTAGATTAAGTAATTTTTTCAATTATCATTGATACTATATAAAAACGTAAAAAGTACTTCTCCAGAAACAAGCTGTACACATCCATTCCACACATTTTTTCTTTTGCGGCCAAGGTGGGTCATTACCCACTCCCGGTTAACACGATGAGACATGAGTTGCACGCAATGACAACTTTTCCAAGGGGACTATTTAGTGAAAATTTCTTTTGATTGCCCACGATGACTAACCCTAACGAATGGATGTATGCTTTTTCCGAGGGACTATTTAGGGGAGTATTTCTTTTCATTAGTATATATAAAATTAAAAACAAGGTCTAAACTTTTCTACCCTTAAAATTTAAACATGAAACAACAATTCTACCCTAATGTTTATCCAATTTCAAAGATATTTTGTTTAAAAAAAAATCATAAAATTACCTCTTTCTTTGGTAAATAAATCACAATTTCACTTGTTAGTTGCTGTAATACCATGAATGATTTTGGACAGCTAAGTCACATGCTTTATGGCATTAAAGCCCCTTCCCCAAACGCATAAGGACACAAATCCTCGACTTAATATGTTTCTAGGTTGAAAAATGATTGGTACACCTTTTGATTTAATATATTTTCTAACACACTTCGGTTTAATGATTAAAAATATAATATAAATACAATCAATTTAATCGGTTTCTGTATCCTGTGTGTATGATTATATCATTAAACTTGTCTATTTTTAATTTCAGATAAAAAATAATGATTTTTTAATGAGTATGTTGCGCAATGTGTTGAACTGGATGGAGTACCAATCACTATCCTTCTAGTTTTCTTCTAGTTTGGAAAATATTCTCTGCAAGACAGAATATATGGTGCTGCAATGTTGCAGCAACAGATCCATGGTGTTCAGCTTTTATTCACTTCAAAAAAAAAAAAATCTACGCTATGCATTGCATGCATTTTTATTTTACATTCTTTCCCTGATCCATCTAATAGTTATGCCGGTAAGCCTAGATATATTCCTTTTTGAGCAGAAGTGTATTAATAGGCTCTCTACGCTGGAGATAAACATTGAAAAGGCTCTTTTGTAGCATATGCTATCTCTGAAAAAGTTAATGCCCTTTCTTTATTGCTTGTCTAACATCTTCTATGCTATCAAGGTTGATTGAAGCAATTGGGGGAATAGTTTCCATGGTACACTATGATGCTTTCTGGATTCTTTTAAAAAAGAAAAAAATACAGCCAATTTCTTCTGCCAAGTGTCGAACTTTTGCGTCGGTGCATTCATGTGTTTCAGTACAAAAAATTTGTATTACTCTTGATGAGAAATATACAAAATAAGGTAGTCTTCGATTTCAAGGATGTTACCTCAACATATTAATACAGAAAGGGAAAGCATGAAATAGACAAACATATTTATTTTTTCAAAAAAAAACAAAAGACAAGGAAACTCAATTGGATCTAATTTGAGGAAGAACGATAGAACTTGTCTGGATGACATGAAACTTTTCTGAATGAGGTTCTCTTTCATTTTCCATTCCCAAATCAATATTTAGTTTTACAAGTTCCAATACAACTTCTGGTTGAGGTTCTCTTCCATTTTCCATTCTCAAATCGGTACTTACAAGTTCCAACAGAGAAATAGTTGGAAAAGGCTTCAAAAGTTGTCTTTGGCAGGCAACAAATTGTTGAAACACATATTTCATTGTTGGTCTGAACTTAGGCTTTGCACGCAAGCAAACCAATGCAAGCATAACAGCAACAACAATACTTTGGGTAAATAGAATGGGACGGGGGCCTATCTGACCTTTGTTTGATTCAAAATTCCAACCCTTTCTGTGCCTGGAAAAAGCAAACAAGAAAGGAAAGGGCTGAAATCTCAATATCTGATCCAGGAAAAAACCCTTACCTTAGCAGTGATAGAGATAGCATAGCTGTAGACAGGGGTCTATTCCAATAGCCGGCGAATTCCTCCTAATTTATGCAATTTCGGAAAGAGTTGAATTAGGTAGTAGCTTAAGCGCTAAGAAGCTCCAATCCATGCTACTCCAGCTATATGCTAAACACATGCAGGTTGATCAGTTCGCCCTCTCAAATTGAAATTCAATATTTTCAATATTTTAAGGCTAAAGTTCTCTGTTTCGT